TGACCCAGACTTAGGATGGGAGAAAACAAGGAGGGCCATGGCAGGGCCCCACCCTGGGTTAAAGGTAAAGGGACCCCTGACCGTTAGGTCCAGTCGTGGCCGACTCTGGGGTTGCGGCGCTCATCTCGCTTTACTGGCCGAGGGAGCTGGCATACAGCTTCTGGGTCATGTGGCCAGCAGGACTAAGCCGCTTCTGGCGAACCAGAGCAGCGCACGGAAACGCCGTTTACCTTCCCGCCGGAGCAGTACCTATTTATCTACTTGCACTGGGATGCTTTCAAACTGTTAGGTGGGCAGGAGCAGGGACCGAGCAACGGGAGCTCACCCCATTGTGGGGATTCGAACCGCCGACCTTCTGATCGGCAAGTCCTAGGCTCTGTGCTTTAACCCACAGTGCCACCTGCGTCCCTGGGTTAGGAAGAGACAAAAAAAGCTTTAAGTCAGCAAAGCTGATCTTGAAGGGGCATCCTCTCTTTGCCTCCAGCGACGCTCCATTTCTACACATCTGTACATAAATCAAATACCAACAAAAAGTGGCTTTGTACCTCCAGAGCTCTTTCCTTCAAGTAATGTCTCCTTTAAAATAAATCAGAAACTCCGCCGTGCCTGCTCTGAAGGGTTTCCCCTGTGCCGAAACTGGAGGTAGCTGAAGCCACTCCCCACAACACCCTCCAGACCCCTGGCTCACCTGAAGTCCTCCAGGCTGCTCTCAAAGGGGCGGCCCCACTCCAGCGTCCCGTTGGCCAGGGGGTACTGACACATGGGCCCGTGAACAAGGCCCAGAGAGGAGGTGGCGACGGCGTAAACGCCTCCCAAGGCCCCCACAGCTGCGGAAGATGATCGAAAGCCACATCTGGGGAGGAAATGTGGCGGGGGTTTAGTGGCAAGCCCAGGGAAACAGAGCCCCTGAAGGTGGGACTGGTTCTGGGTGGAGCACAGCCCCCTGGTATTTAATAATAATAACGATAATAAAATAATTCTATATATCTTGCCCCTCAGCCAAGCCGGGCTCCAGAGCGGCAGCGACAATGAGCACACGTTCACATAAATCAGATCAATCATGGAATGCATCTAAATCATTCATTTAAATCTAAATAAATAAGCAACCATTGCTAGGTCTGAGGAAGAGACAACTGTGCAAGGTGGTGACGCTCTGTCTGCAGGCGAGCAAATGTCCAGTCTCTAGTCCGGTACAGAGCCTTCCACCAATCGGGGCATTGCGCGAAAAGCCCTGGCTCTGGTTGAGGCCAGCCTAAACTCCCTGTGGCCTGGGACCTCCAAGATGTTTTTGTTTGAGGACAGTAAGGTCCTCTGTGGGACATACCAGGAGAGGCGGTCCCGTAGGTACAAGGGTCCTAGGCTGTATAGGGCTAATATTGTTATGAGTTTCACCCCCTAAATTCCTGGTTCCAGTAGGTGCTAGGATTTAACCCGTGCTTGGAGTCTTATTCGAGTGCCCGTCCTGAGATTTAGCAAGTGTTCCCAGCATGTTCGCACTCCCGTCTCACGGACGCTGGCTTGGCCATGTCCATGGAAAAGGGCAGGATCCCGCAAAGATATTCTCTAGGGGGAGCTGGTTTCTGGTACCAAGCCCCTTGGCAGACCAACTCTGCACTACAAAGCTGTCTGCAAACGTGACATGAAGACTGGCAACATCAGCCCCACCATGTGGGAATCCCTTGCAGGAGATCTCAGTGCCTGGAGACGGGTAGCTAAGTCCATAGCAATGAACAGAGAAGAAATGACCGCCATAGCGTCAGATGTGCCTCATTCCCAAAAGGAAACACGGAGGGAAGCGCCTGGAATCTCGCGCCACTCGGAGACTGGGGTGGAGTGCAGCAATATATATATTTATTTGGGGAGGGGGCTTTGAAATAACAGCATGGGAGCGCAGAATGGGGAGGGTGCCGAGGTGAGAATGGAGAAAGGGGACGTTTCACGGCACTGCAGGGGGCCTGGACGAGGACGACCCGTGCGTTCCTTGCCACTCTACGGTTTTATGAGGTTTTGCCTAGGAGTTTGTGGCACTTTGCCCGCCCCCGCTCCACGCTGGCATGTGCAAACAAACAAGGGGGTGGGGAAAAGCAGAAGTTTCTGCCCCACATCTCACCCCGCAGCGGTTCCCACAGCAGCCTTTGCGCCCGGTGGCCTGGATGTGGACGGCTGGAACCATCACCTGGGGAGGAGAGAAAACTCGTCAGCTCAAGAAACGTGATCAAAATGTCCCCCCCGAAACACACAGATAATGCCCCCCTCCCTGGGTCTCCTGTTTCCCCATAACCACAACATCCTCCCCACATTCTGAACCCACAGTCCAGCTGTTGGCACTGGGTGTGAGCAGGGCAGCCAGCCTGGCATTTAGATCCCATTCCTGCAGGAGACAGATCATGCCCTCTCCCTTAGTCCTCACCCACCCACCATAAGGGGGAATTCTTAATCTGTTTCCCAGCTTTACTCTACTTATCACACACACAGAGAGAGAGAGAGTCATGAGGTGGTCGCAAAACCCACTAAAGGCAATTCTCCACCGAGATGTGGTAGCCGCAAGCCCTGCCTTGCCCGGGGTTGGACTGGATGACCTTTGGGTCCCTCATGCCACGATTCTCAAAACCTCTCAGGGCAGCTTGCGAGCAAAATGAAAACACCTTAGGAGGTGAAACTGCGCAGGATCCTTCCCTTAAGGGCCGTTCATCCTGCTTGTGTCCCAGAGAGAGTTGAAGAAGGGGGAGTAGGAGAGAAAGAGCCGGGTTTTGGCACAGGCCCCCCCCAATATCCTCTGCCAGATTATTCCTTCTGTTGCAAAGACCGTACAGGATTCCTAACAGCGGCTCCCTCTTGCCGTGGAACCTTACCATGATGCCGCCTCCGATGATCCCGCCCAGGTAGAGGATTTCGGGGGTCAGGTACTCTCCCCAGTGGTGGACATACTGGGTCTTCCAGTCTGGGAAGGCAAGGACGATGTTGCACACAATGCACAGGAGAGCGAAAGGCCAGAGGGCAGCCCCCAGCACGCGGGAACAGGCCCCCGTGCACATGGCAACGCCGAAATGGGGCTCTGCGGGGCAAGAGGCAGCCTTATATGCCCGGGGGGTGGCGGGGTGGGTGGGGGTGGCACCCGGCAGACTCAAGAGGAGGAACTGGGGAAAGTCTTTGGACTTTCTCAGCGCACTTGGCTCGTAAATGCCACCTTTGTCCCCTCGGATGCCGTCAAGCTAGTGGGGTGAGCAGATAGTAGCGCTGGGGGCAAGGGGTTCCTGGGCGCGGGCAGAGCTCTCTCCTCCAAAGCATGAGTCAGAGAGGCATAGAGGTGGAAGGGACCTCCAGGGGTCATCCAGTCCAACCCCCTGCAAGTGCAGGAGTCGCAGCTGATGCGATGGCCGCCCGACCGCTGCTTAAAAGGAAGTAGAAGCTGCCCCCTTCCGAGGTCACAGAATGATAGAGCCGCATTTCTCTCCTAAAATCTACACCCCGCATTACTGTAAAAAAGAGAAAGACCTCTCACAGCAGTTTCACAAAAGGATAAAATGACCAAGAAACATTTTCAAGGCTTTAACGTACCCAACGTTAAAAGACTGGACACTTTCTAAGCATCTGGGACGGCTTGTCTAAACAAGGAAGTTTTTAGAGAAAGAGAAGAGGGAAGGTTCCTGCTTGATATCATTCGTATCAACAGGCAGGGAGTTCCAGAGTGTAAATGACCCACTTCTTACAAATGTGGAAGGGGTATTGCGCCAACTTCCCCAACCAAAGCCATCAATCTTGCAGGTAAACTGGTCCCAAGTTGTTAAGGGCTTTTTGTGTGCTAATAGTAATGCCTTGAACTTGGCCCAGTAGCAAACCAGCAGCCAGTTCAGATTTCTGCCACAGGTGTTGTGCACTGACAAGGCCTCCGTCCCGTCAGCAATCGTGCTGCAGCATCCTGCACCAATGGCAGCTTCCAGATCAAGAGTAAGGGAAGCCCCACAGTGAGCGCACTGCAGTAGCCCAGCCTTGAAGTAACGAACGCATGAATCACTGCAGAGTTGGGAAAACCTCCGAGGGCTATCTAGTGTGGGATACACAGCTGTCAGTCAAGTCCAACATTCTGAGAGGACTAACTGCCTCTGTGTGGCAGGCAGTTTTGTCAGTTGGTTGGTTGCTGCAAGGAGTGTTAACTGGTAACTGCTCAGATGCAGTCTTCTCATGACTCACTTTGCTGTTGTTTAGTCGTGTCCGCCTCTTCGTGACCCCCTGGACCAGAGCACGCTAGGCCCTCCTGTCTTCCCCTGCCTCCTGCAGTTTGGTCAAACTCATGTTTGTAGCTTTGAGAACACTGTCCAGCCATCTCGTCCTCTGTTGTCCCCTTCTCCTTGTGCCCTCCATCTTTCCCAGCATCAGGATCTTTTCCAGGGAGTCTTCTCTTCTCATGAGGTGGCCAAAGTTGTGGAGCCTCAGCTTCAGGATCTGTCCTTCCCGTGAGCATTGAGGGCTGATTTCCTTAAGAATGGAGAGGTTTGATCTTCTTGCAGTCCATGGGACTCTCAAGAGTCTCCTCCAGCACCAGAATTCAAAAGCATCCATTCTTCGGCGATCAGCCTTCTTGATGGTCCAGCTCTCACTTCCATACATCACTCCTGGGAAAACCAGAGCTTTAACTATAAGGACCTTTGTTGGCAAGGTAATGTCTCTACTTTTTAAGACGCTGTCTAGGTTTGTCATTGCTTTTCTCCCAAGAAGCAGGCGTCTTTTAATTTCGTGGCTGCTGTCACCATCTGCAGTGATCATGGAGCCCAAGAAAGCAAAATCTCTTACTGCCTCCATTTCTTCCCCTTCTATTTGCCAGGAGGTGATGGGCCCAGTGGCCATGATCTTCGTTTTTTTGATGTTGAGCTTCAGACCATATTTTGCGCTCTCCTCTTTCACCCTCATTAAAAGGTTCTTTAATTCCTCCTCACTTTCTGCCATCAAGGTTGTGTCATCTGCATATCTGAGGTTGTTGATATTTCTTCCGGCGATCTTAATTCCGACTTGGGATTCATCCAGCCCAGCCTTTCACATGATGAATTCTGCATATAAATTAAATAAGCAGGGAAACAATATACAGCCTTGTCGTACTCCTTTCCCAATTTTGAACCAATCAGTTGTTCCATATCCAGTTCTAACTGTAGCTTCTTGTCCCACATAGAGATTTCTCAGGAGACAGATGAGGTGATCAGGCACTCCCATTTCTTTAAGAACTAGTTTGCTGTGGTCGACATGACTCACTACTATCTAGTATATAGTTTATTTGTTATGTAACCTAAGCCTGCCTTCAGGAACAACTCTGTAAAACCTGAATGAATCTGATAATAAAGTAGTTTATGTTAATATGATTCAGAGTCATGTGTGTTTTCTTTAAGAGGGACAGAAAGGGATTATCAACCAGGAAGGTATTGATAGGACTCAAACGAGTTAGCAACCTGCTTGACGCTGCACAAACTCAAACAGGGGACCGTTTAAACTCTGCTAAATTATATAAACGTTCCCACATCTAGTACAACCTCCTGCAACACAGGGATCCTGCGTCCTGCCCACCACCTCCAGACCACTAAGGGGATAAAATCAAGAAGCAAAGGAACAAGATCCAGAAGAGGCTCAAGCAAGCTAGCCAAGGCGCATCTGGCAGGGGGGTATTAAAACAAAAAAGGCCATCAGGGTCACTAAACAGAGGGAGGAGGGTCTTCTGTGGCCACTGTCAAGGTGTTTCTGGGCGCAGTTAGTACAAGGGTTAGGTAAAGGTAAAGGGACCCCTGACCGTTAGGTCCAGTCGCGGACGACTCTGGGGTTGCGGCGCTCATCTTGCTTTATTGGCCGAGGGAGCTGGCGTACAGCTTCCGGGTCATGTGGCCAGTATGACTAAGCCGCTTCTGGCGAACCAGAGCAGCGCACGGAAACTCCGTTTACCTTCCCGCCGGAGCGGTACCTATTGATCTATTTGCACTTTGACGTGCTTTCGAACTGCTAGGTGGACAGGAGCAGAGACTGAGCAACGGGAGCTCACCCCATCACGGGGATTCGAACCTCCGACCTTCTGATTGGCAAGTCCTAGGCTCTGTGGTTTAACCCACAGCACCACCCTTAGTACAAGGGTTAAAAGCCCAGAATTAATTGGAATTCAGGTACTTGAAAATATTTATTTATTTCATAGAATTGTAGAGGTGGAAGCGACTCCTAGGGTCATCTAGAAACCTCACGCAGGAATCTCAGCTAAAGCATCCATGGCAGATGGCCATCCAACCTCTGCTTAACACCTCCCCCCCCCCGAATTTCCACTGTCAAACTGTTCTCACCGTCAGAAAAGTCTTCTTGACGCTGAGTCGGAATCTCCCTTTTTGGAGCTTGAAGCCATTGGTTTGGGCCCTGCGCTCTGGAGCGGCAGAAAAGAAGCAGGCACCTTCTTCCATGGGGCAGGCCTGAGATATTTGAAGTTGCCTCTCATATCTCCTCTCCGTCTCCTCTTTAGCTGGCTAAGTGTCCCCACCGCCATCAACCGCTCCTCACAAGGCTTAGTTTCCAAACCCTTCATCTTCTTGGTCACCATTTTTGTTGGGGGACGCAGAGCAGCTCTGCAGTTCTTGGCTGAGGCCGTGGAGTCCACCCAGACCCTCCCCTCGAGACCCACCTCCTTCCCTGAAGACTTGGAAGGGTCCCCCATGCCCTGGCACAATGAGGTCCGCCATGCCCAGGGCACGGGCCCTGCTCCCTGCCTGCCGCGCTGGGTCCTCACTAAGCGGCTGCCACTCTCCTTCGTCTCCCTCGCGCTCAAAAAGGTCTCCGGCCACCAGGACGTCCCCCAGGGAAGTGCCGCGGACCAGCAGGCTGACGTCGTTCCCCGTGTGGCCCGGGGTGGGCAGCACCTCCAGGTGCCCCGCGTGGAGTGGGTAGGGGAGCCCCCGGCGCAGATCCGTGGGGAGGTAACGTCCATCAGGCCGGCTGACGTCCGTGCCCACGACCAGCAGGGCCTCGGGGAAGAGGTTGAGGTTGCCCACGTGGTCCGAGTGGCCGTGGGTGCAGACCACGTGGCGGACGTCTTGAGGGGACACGCCCTGCTCGGCCAGCCCCGCCAGCAGCCGCTCACGGCCCCAGGGACCTCCTGTGTCCACCAGGGTGAGCTGGGGACCCAAGACCAGGGAGACGGTCCCGTCCGCTCGGGTGCTGCCGTCGCAAAGCTCCTCCGAAAAGCCCTCCTGAAGGACCAGCACCGAGTAGGGGGAGCCGGGGATCAGCCGTGCGGGGAAGGGGGCTGTCCGTGGCTTCGAAGAGGTGGAGGCCGGGGAGCAGAGAGCCATTGAGAGGGAGATCCGGAGGGGAAAGGGTCCGGGGGGGGGGTCCTTTCTTTCTGTCTGGTGGAGGGACGGTTTGAGGGCAAAATTCCCGGCGGGTCCTGGCAAAGCAGATCTTGAAGACCTTTAAGAAACAGGATAAGGAAGTTAGAAGGGTCCCCCCAAAGTTCATCTAGCCCAGGGGTCAGCAACCTTTTTCAGCCGTGGGCCGGTCCAACATCCCTCAGAGCTTGTGGGGGGCTGGACTATATTTTTGGAAGGGGAAATGAACGAATTCCTATGCCCCACAAATAACCCAGAGATGCATTTTAAATAAAAGCACACGTTCTACTCATGAAAAAATACTCTGATTCCCAGACCATTCACAGGCTGGATTGAGAAGGTGATTGGGCCGCATCCGGCCCACGGGCCATAGGTTGCCTACCCCTGATCTAGCCCAACTGCCTGTGACACAGGGATCCTTGACCAGGGGCTGGGGCAACTTTGGCCCTGCTTGCCAACCTGGCAGAGATTTCTGAGGCTGCCCTTTGCCAGGAAAGGATCAGACAGCAAAATAATAATAATAAATTTTTATTTGTATCCTGCCCTCCCCAGCTGAGGCCGGGCTCAGAGCAGCTAACATCATAAAGACAACAGAATATGCATAAAAACAGACATCAATTCATTAAAATACACTAGCGTTGCTAGTGGCCCACCAAGCCCCCGGAGAAATGAGGACACAGCACCATCCATGGCAACATCAGGGGTGAAAGGAGACCCCCCCCGCCCACCTGGCCCAGGACAACGGGCCAGATGCGTGCAGGTGTGGTCCCCCCAGCCTCCCCTGAATCCAAAACCACTCAGGCTCATCCAAGAGGATCAGGCAGAGGAATAGAAGGTAGGCTGGGGCTAGTAAGAGGTGCCACCGCAATGGCCCTTTGCTCCCTTGACTTTTGGGGGCAGGAAAGGTGCCCTGAGAGGCACATGCCTGGAATCCGGGGTGGGGAGATGGTGGCTGTGGAGTTCGCCTCCCCCCCCGGCAACGTGAGAGCGGGGCCTTCTCTGTGGTGGCTCCCTGTCTGTGGGATGCTGCTCTGCCCAGGGAGGCTCCCCTGGCGCCTTCCTTGCATCTCTTGAGGCACCAGGCTGACCTGCCTGCCTCTCTCTCTCTGGCTGTTGCTCCTTACGAATTCCCCCCGCCCCTTTTTTTCATACCGTAAACCACCCTGGAGAGAGGCAGGGGAATTGAAGAAATAATTAATTTATTCATACCTGTCAAACCACCTTTAACAAAGAAAAACAAAACCGAGAACCGCTGGAAAAATACGAAAATTGGTGAAAAAAAGCAATTAAATTGCAAGCAAACAGCGAGAGAAGTAAATACACCTGTAGGCTGTTTTCTATTTCCCACCTCGTGACGTCACGTCCGCCGCACGCACCGGAAGTACGCGCGCTCACGCAGGCGCCGCTCTAGCACCTCCTCCTCTGTGCTCTTGCCGCAGCGTCTTCCTCCGCCAATCCTGAGAGGAGGAGGAGGAGGAGGAGGAGTGCGCATGCGCATGTGGATAAAAAACCCACCCCGACCAACCAGGCGCCGGGGCGAGGAAGGAAGCTCCGCCCACCTCCTCCTCCTCCTGCCGCGGCGCCCTTTGAGCGGCGTCACAGTGGGCGGGGCTTGGGTCTCCCCGTCGCGGGGCAGGGGCGCCGTCGGATGACGCCGCCTGGGTCGGGCTACCGTATATGCGGGTGTAGGGGCGCCGCCCGGAGGCGGCGGCTGGACCGTATTTGCGGCCAGAGAAGCCTCCGCCGGCGGTAAGTGGCGCGTCGCGGGCTGCGCTCTGCACATGCCCCGGGGGCCGCTCCTCCGGGGCAGCGGGCGAGCCGCTTCCTGCATGGCGGGGGGGGTTGGACTAGATGGCCTCTGGGGGTCCCTCCTCGGTCCCCCGCGCAGCCTCGCCCCAGCTGGGTGTCGCGTCCTCCTGCCTGGCCGCTCGGCCGCTCCTTCTCCCCCCGCCGGTCCCGCCGCCGCCTCTCCGTCCGGCCCCCTCGCGAGTCCGGCAGCTCAGCGGGCCGGAAGGGGCTGGGGCGCCGGGCTGGCATTCAGCTGCATCGGCCCTTGGGGCGCCCATTCCCCCCTCACTTCCCATGGCTTGTTGTTGCTGAGTCCTTTAGTCGTGTCCGCCTCTTCGTGACCCCCTGGACCAGAGCACGCCAGGCCCTCCTGTCTTCCACTGCCTCCCGCAGTTTGGTCAGACTCATGCTGGTAGCTTCTATGACACTGTCCAACCATCTCGTCCTCTGTCGCCCCCTTCTCCTTGTGCCCTCCATCTTTCCCAACATCAGGGTCTTTTCCAGGGAGTCTTCTCTTCTCATGAGGTGGCCAAAGTCTTGGAGCCTCAGCTTCAGGATCTGTCCTTCCAGTGAGCACTCAGGGCTGATTTCCTTCCGAATGGAGAGGTTTGATCTTCTTGCAGTCCATGGGACTCTCAAGAGTCTCCTCCAACACCATAATTCAAAAGCATCAATTCTTCGGTGATCAGCCTTCTTTATGGTCCAGCTCTCACTTCCATACATCACTACTGGGAAAACCAGAGCTTGAACTATCCCATGGCTATTCTGCTTCTATTCCACCACCTGAAGGAGCCCAGGGTGGCAAGTGGCTTCACAGTAATAGTTTAAAAACAGTAAAAGCAGTGGCTTATGGGTTGCCCAGAAGAGCATCGTTCAGCTGCTAGAATACCTAGTATTTAGTTTTCCTTCCAAAAGCCCCTAATACTAATACAGCAGTACCTCGGGTTACAAACACTTCAGGTTACAGACTCCGCTAACCCAGAAATTGTGCTTCAAATTAAGAACTTCGCTTCAGGTTGAGAAGAGAAATCGTGCTTCGGCGGCGCGGCGGCAGCAGGAAGCCCCAATAGCTAAAGTGGTGCTTCAGGTTAAGAACAGTTTCAGATTAAGAACGGACCTCCGGAACGAATTAAATACTTAACCCGAGGTACCACTGTATGGCGTTCCGTGCGCGACCTCTGCATCTGGTGTCTATTGATACCACAAGTGGTTGGTTGGTTGGGGGGGAGGTGCGCACGCAAGAGAGGGATGGTGTGATCCTGTGCACATGCAGCAGGCGGGCCAGCGCTTTTGCATTCTCTATAGTCCATGGCTGAGAGTTCCTTCGGCTGCACTGCACAAGGTGAGCGACTCAGGTGAGGCAGTTGTGGGGGGGGAGAAGGTTGGCCGCCCCCTGCTTTCCCTTTTCAACCATTACACTCCGAGGCAGGACAGAGAAGTGCCCATTTTGGGCCCAGGGAGCCTCATTCCGCCGCCCCTCAGGATCGAGACGGGCAGCTGCTGAGGCATCTCTCCTCCAGCCTCCTTGGTTGGGGGTCAGCCATGACTAGGTTTTGAAATGGGCTCCCACGTATTTAATGTGCATTATCACTAGCATTGCAAGATGTATTTGGAAATAGATCCATCAGGTTTAAAACGAATTACAGTAAGTACAGAGGTACCACTGTAATAATTTATTATTCATACCCCGCCCATCTCGCTGGGTTTCCCAACAGAATATTAAAAACACGACAAAACATCAAACATTAAAAACTTCCCTAAACAGGGCTGCTTAGTGAGGGAGAGATTGTGGGCAAGTACAGTGGACGCTTGGGTTGCGAACGTGATCCATGCGGGATGCACGTTCGCAACCCACAGCGTCCACAACCCGCAGCGGCGCGTCTGCACACACGCGGGTTGGGATTTGGTCTTCTGCGCATGCGCAAAGCGCAATTTATTGCTTCTGCACATGCGCGACCGCTGAAACCTGGAAGTAACCCGTTCCAGTACTTCTGGGTTTCAGCAGTCCACAGCCCGAAAAAATGCAACCTGAAGCAGCTGTAACCCGAGGTATGACTGCATTGCAGTTCAGCATTGGGGGTCTCTGGCCTGCAATGCGTAAAACTACTTCCATTTGTTACCCAGATTACCATCTCCATATCTTCTTGGCTTTCCTCAGCTGCCTCTGTTTCTTTTCCGTGTTCCAACAAATAATATTGAGTTCACAGATAGGTTTTGTTATGTATGTTTTGTTTCTTACCGTGTACTTCTTACATGTCCACAGAAATCTCCATGAAAATCAGTTGGCAAAGCAATAATAGCGGGGGACGCAGCAGCACGTCTCCAGGGAGGGCGTTACGCCAGCGGGGAGCCACCACCGAAAAGGCTTCGCTATGGGTTGGCCAATGTTGGGGGCTGAGGAGGTTGAGGCAGAAGGCTGCCTGGAGTGAGGGATGCCGGTGACCAGAGCAGATCTTTGTGGTCTTTCCACCCGCAGGGGCAGCCGTTGAGCCAAGATGGCGGAAGAGAAGAAGATGAAGCTGAGCAACATGCAGCTGCCCACTGAGTCCATGAAGGCCATGGCCGAGTCGATGGGCATCGGGCAGGTCCCTGAGGAGACCTGCCAGATGCTGGCGGACGAAGTCAGCTACCGCATCAAGGAGATCGCCCAGGTCGGTACTTGAACGCAAAGTTCAACTGCGGAACTCCCTCCCACAGGATAGCTTAATAATAATAATAATAATAATAATAATAATAATAATAATTTTATTTATACCCCACCCTACCCAGCCAAGACTGGGCTCAGGGCAGCTAACAACCGATTCATTGAAATACAGCTTAAAAAGAAGATTAAAATACAACATTAAAACATTAAAATGCAGCCTCATTTCAATAGAAACTCAAATCAAAAACTTTTTTGGGGATGAAAACATCAGGTCTTCACCAAGGCTAGCTTTGAAAGAGGATGAGCAAACAAACCAACCCCTGTGTTGCAAAATATGAATCAGCAATATCAAAAGCAACACGATGGCCAGAAACAATTACAATGTGGAAAACTTTATGGAATAATTCAAAACATCAAAACTAGGAAACTGAAGTCTCTGCAAGTCCTGTTACATTGAATTCTTCATCATGCATGAGCCCTGTTCCGGAGTATTTTTCATTCTCATGTATATTATATCTATTCGGGGAAAAAGATTGTTTAATGAAGAAATTACATATCTTTCTACTTACAAGCGTTGAACTAATTGGCTGATGAAGAATTCAACGAAACATGTCAAAATATTGTTCTAAAAATGACATGTTGATAGGCTTAGAGTAAAAAATGTCAGCAATAACAAAACCAATAAAGAAAGAAGGAAAAATCAGAATTTAACAAAAATAACTTATTATAGAATGCAAGGGGGGGAAAGTAGAAAGAGATATAAAGAAGTCGAATTGCTGTGGAGGGAAGTAGAGGGTGGCTGGCGGGTTTTATAAGTAAGTGTATAATTATGCAGCTGTTGTAATTTAGGTATTATATTTTATGTGAGGGAATCATTGGGAATTTTGGTTATTATATATATATGCTAAGTTGCAATAAAGATCTTTGAAAATTAAAAAATGAAGCAGTAGTTGTTATCCGTAAACACTGTTTCAGAGTTCAGAGTTGGACGTCAGAATCAGACATTTGCTGATTATACAAAGCTGTTCACAGCTTGCTTTCTGCCAGGTACCTTGATTCATTTAAAGACTTGCTGAGACGTTCAAAGACTTCAGCTTGTTAGTTTTGATGTTTTGAATGATTCCATAAAGTTTTTCTCATTGTGATTGTTTCTGGCCATTGTGCTGCTTTTGAAAGATGACGGAGAGGCCTTTCAAGGGCTGCCAGCCACGATGGCTTCGCTCTGACGCCAAGTTTGGAGGCAGTAAATGCTCTTCTCATGTTCAAATAAAGACTCGCAGGACCCCAAAGGTTTGTGGGGCTGTGCGTTTCACCTCCGCTCACCCTGCTTGACTTCTAACTGTGCAGGGCCCAGAAAGCGTCAGTGTGCCATCGGTTGATTGGCAGGCGGTTGCCCTGCAGGGTTTGGGGAGGTGGGTAGGGGAAGAGGGAGTGGAACCTCCCCTCTTTGAGGCGCACCCAACCCTTTGCCCGGTCTCTCTTTTCCCCGCTGCGACTTCCACCCGCTCAGGATGCCTTGAAATTCATGCGCATGGGCAAACGCCGGACCCTCACCACCGGAGACATCGACTTGGCCCTCAAACTGAAGAATGTGGAGGTGAGTGTTTGGGTGGGGTGGGCAATTTCGGCAGGGCTGGGGGTGTTTGTGCGGAAGCAGAGCCATCTTCTCGACCTGCATGTTCCTGCGTTGTATGGGGGGTTGGACTAGATGACTCGTGGGGTCCCTTCCAACTGGGATTGTGTGTTCATTGCTGCCTCAGAGAAATTGGCATAGTGGCTAAGGGGTGACCCCACCTCTATTTGGGGGTTATTTTTTATTACACATACAGGTGAAACTCGAAAAATTAGACTATTGTGGGAAAGTTAATATATTTCAGTAATTCAGCTTAAAAGGTGAAAGATATTAAATAAATTAAATATATTAAATATACTTAAATAGCTTAGATATATTAAAACTAATATATGAGGCGCTGTGGGTAAAAGCCTCAGCGCCTAGAACTTGCCGATCGAAAGGTCGGCGGTTCGA